GCCCCACCTCCTAATACCATCACATTGGGGATTAGGTTTCAATACATGAATTTTGTGGGGACACAAACATTCAAACTATATCACAAGATTTAGCCATTCACTAACAGTAGCAATGAATTTTTCAGAACTTTGCTGGTAATTTACACTTAAATGTAGGTGTCATAAAAGGGCTATGGAGGGCTTCCCTGGTGGCACAGTGGTTGAGAGTCCACTTGCCGATGCAGGGGACACAGGTTTGTGCCCCGGCCCGGGAAGATCCCACATGCCACGGAGCGGCTGGGCCCGTGAGCCGTGGCCGCTGAACCTGCATGTCCCGAGCCTGTGCTCCGCAACGGGAGAGGCCACCACAGTGAGAGGCCCGCGTACCACAAAAAAAAAAATAAAAAAGGCTATGGAATGGGGAGAAAATGTGGCTGGTCTGTGGTGGTTCTCATCTACATAAGGAAGTATAATATGCACACTGTTCCATTCTGCTACTGCCACCTTGACTCATGCCTCAACTCTGTAGATCTTATCATCTTTTGAGATCTCAGCCCATTGTCACTTCCCTGATTTCAGCTTGTCACCTCCCATCCTTGAAGTTTCTGCTGCTAGAGTCTCTTTGTCTTACCCTATGACAATTTTTTCTAGCCACTGGCACTTTTTCTCAGTTACCTTCATATCAGTAAACTCATCTGTACTTGACAAAACTCAGTGCCCCTGGAAATAGGTGAGATATCTCAAGCCACTCTCATGCCTAGAAACCCCAAGAAGATGTCTTTATTAACCTTCCTATCACCTTGGCCAGGGGTTCTTCTGCTAATCTGCTGCCTTCAAAATACCCTACGCTAGAATACAGAGCTTTAAACTTGTACCCCATGAATATCAAGGGAAAATCTATCACAATATTCCCTTGACAGATTCATTATGGTGAGAAATGAATTCCCTGCATTGCTTCCAACTCTTTTTTCACCTCCCAGATCTCTGGTGTGAGGGTGTGTGTGTGTGTGTGTGTGTGTGTGTGTGTGTGTGTGTGTGTGTAGAGGAGGAAAGAAAAAGAATGCCTTGGAAACATGTTCTGCTTCTTTGCATTCCCTAGGCACTCTTTGTTGTCTCACAGTTGGATGGTGCCTCTGGTGGCCCAGAAGTCAAGAATGTGTCATCTTTGATTATTGGCCTGTGAGCTTACAACTCCCTCTGGAGTTAATTGAATCCCAGGGAGGACCTCTAAAAATGAATGGGTGTAGGCACAGGGGAGAGGAACAAAATATGCCAGTTACTGTTTCAAATGAATGAACGAGAATTTATGTAACCAGTATGCTAAACTAGCCCAACTGGTGGGATGCAATCACAAGACAATTTAACTTTGCTTCCTCACTCTTCTTTAGCTGCTCAGTGGGACTAGTTTTGCCCTAGCAATGAAAAATCTGGCATTTATATATTTTTATAATTATTTTAAAGAGATGTAAAGCTCTGAGATTATTTCAAGACACAAATCATAATTTCAACTTGCTACTTAAAATGGCCAATGCCATATATAAGCAAATCTTCCAAATTCATTTAGAGTTGCAGTTACTCCCCTACCTTCAACTCAGGATGGCTGCAAGTGAAAAAAATAAAAGACAGGTTTCTGCTCTAATTCCAAATTCCTCCTCTTCCAGTTTCCAATAATTTTAGGGTTAGGGCTTGGAGGCTGTAGGGTAGAAGAGACCGTCTAGGTGCTCATCAAACCCATTTCTTCTTCCTGGGCATCCCACCTCCCTTCATCCAGGTTGGGCCATGTGACCAGCTTTCCCTCATGAAATGCAAGTGGAAATGATGGATCATTAGTAGTGATGGTTGTTAAGATAGGAGTGTGTTGGATCTACATCATCTTCTGACCAGATGTAGAGAACCCAGTGGGGCACTCCAAGGCAGAATCATAAATGAAAGGAGGCTGATTTTGTCAATCAATCACCAGATGGAAGGCTGCAAACCTAACACTCAACTGAACTGTGATGGAAATGAGAAATGAGACATTATTGTATTAAACCATTTAGATTGGGGGTCATTTGTTATGGTAGCTAGGGTAAACTACCCTAATTAACACTAAGATGGAGTAACAATAAAAAAGGAGTGAATATTTATACTTAGCTAGAAGAAATATGGTTGTTCATGGAGCATACCCCTTGGACATTGCCCTATGCCTCTCACTAGCAGTTTTCTTGATACATGCTCATCTTACTGATAACTTACTTTGTCTACAGCTTTTGGGAATCTGGATTTACATTTAGCTTCTCTCTTCTTATCCTAGATTAACACCCATCCGATTCTGTTTCATGCGTGGCCTTTATCTGATCCACTGGAAACATTCACATATCCTTTGTTCCAAAAAAGTCTGAGAACACAGGTCATAAAACACCGTCATCTTGCCTTCATTGCCTTTATCCCCACCTTCAAAGCATGTTTCCAGTCTGCTTTTTCCTTTTAGATTTTCCAAGTAAGAGTCTGACACAAGCTTAATGTATTTACCTTACTGAACCTATCAATTATGTGTATGTAATGTGTGTGTGCATTTGCTTTAACAATATTTCTTTGTACTGAGAACTTATGGTCTTTAATTTCTCTTTTATCATGAGTGTCTGGTCATATTTCATTGATGCTACCTTTCTGAAGGTCGTTGAATAATCCATTTACAATTATTAAATGGGCCTTGTTTTATGCATTAACTCTGCATTCAATGAAGTTTGTTGACCATTCTCACTAGACTTGAGCTGAAGGACAGGATCCCATGCCCCAGTACCCTCTTGAGTGGAACTCACAGCACACAAGGAGCTCCCTCCAAAATGTCCTTTTCCTTTCACCATGCACCCTCAACCCTCTTTGACTCAATGTGAGGTGTTCAAGAATTGTGGAAATACTTTTCTAGCTAAATCACTTGAAAATTTCCAATTTGATCTGTTACCTCTCTTTGAAATGTTATATCTTCATATTTTACCGCTTCATGTGGAATTTCAGATCTAAAACAATACACTCACCAGAATGTAGAATTCTAGAGCTCCCAATGATTCTCTCTCAGAAGTTTTTAGATATTGCTGCATTGTTTTCTAGCATTTCATATTGCAAATATAAAACCAAGTTCCTGTCTGATTTTTATTTCTCTCTCTCTCCCCTTCCCTCCCTCCCTCTATTTCTATCTCTCTTTCTCTTTTTCTTACTGTATGCATTTAGGACATTTATTTTTTCCATGGGAATTCATAAACTTAATCTGAATTTTTCAGTCTAAAGACTCAAATCTTTCTTCGATTCAGGGAAATTATCTTCTATTATACTCTTTAAATTATTAATTCTATGGTATTCACTTTGTGCTGTCTTTCTGTAAATTCTATTGATAGCATATAGATATCAAGATTCTCAGATATATCTTTCTCATCCTTTTTCTGATTTCAATTTATTATTCCTCTGAATTCTTATATAATTCCTCAAGTTAATTTACTAATCTCTGTTAGAAACATCCATTCTGTTCACTGTGTGTATGCTTCTGGTTAATTTTGGCAATAATGTTTCATACTATGCATTCTGATATTCCATTTTTTCCTTTTTCCATGGCAACATGGTCTCTTCTAATGCAGCAACCACTTGAATTTCATTGAGAAAATGATTTTCAATTTTCTTGAGTTTACCCTGGTTTATTGTGTTAATCTCATCATTTTGAGGGTCAATTGGTTTCCTTTCAGCTGATAATTCTTTTCAGTCTTATGATAAATATTTAATTCTCTGATTATATACTTACTCCAAATTAATGTCTTTAATGCAGTATTTTAAAAAATGGACCAAAGGCAAGTGGCTATCATCTTTTATTTCAATGGAAATATTATAATTCATCCCCAGAACTGCAAAAGTCACACTAATTTTTCACATGAATAAAAAAAAGTTCTAAACCTAATTATGAATAAAGTGAACATTAAAGAGCACTTTCACCAGCCCCTGATTAAAATGCAATTATAATTCTTTCATTAGAAGAAATTATGTGAGCTACACAAAATCATTGTGGATAAAGTGCCTCTGAATTTTCCCTCTAGCAAAATGCATCCTAAAAGTATGTTTTCTATAATTATACATTAATGAAAAGACAACAAAAAGATGCTCTGCTTCTCCTCATAGTCACTGTCCCTCTCCTTTTGCTTTGTCATTTTCAAAATGATGATAATCTGGAGAAGGAAATTTTTGTTTAGTCATGAACAGGACAAATCTAGGTGTGCTGAGGCAGTGAGAGAGGGTAGTGGGCAAAGTCCCTTTTCCCAAGATGATAAAGAAGGCAAAAAAGTAGTTAATAATACTGTATTGTGCACTTAAAAATTTGTTAAGGGGGTAGATCTTGTGTTAAGTGTTCTTACTACACACGCACACACACGTGTGTGTGTGCACACACACACACAGACCCACACAGTTACACACAAAAAAGCCAAAAGGGCATGAGGAAATTTGTGGAGGTGATGGACATGTTTATTACCATGAGGGTGATGATGTTTTCACAGGTATTTCTATATGTCCAAACTCATCAAATTGTATATTTTAAATATTTAGAGGGGTTTTGTATATCAGCTATACCTCACTAAAGTTTTTGTAGGTAGATAGATAGATAGACAGAGAGATGATAGATAGATAAACGGTAGATAGACTTTGTGAAACAAAAAAGAAAAAAGGTCAGATGGAAGAGGTGAGTGCTAAAGCACTCCCCACTACTGACTCTGTTCCCTGAACACACTCCAGAGCTGTCTGTTTGATTTGATTAATAGAAAGTTTAGAGGAGGAGGAGAAGCAATTGAAGAGTGGGCTGGTGTTTATTATATGGAAGAGGCCAGATATATGTTACCTAGCAAAAAGAAATCTTAGGACCTCCCTCGTGGCACAGTGGTTAAGAATCTGCCGGCCAGTGCAGGAGACACAGGTTTGAGCCCTGGTCCAGGAAGATCCCACATGCCGCGGAGCAACTAAGCTCATGCACCCCAACTACTGACCTTGTGCTCTAGAGCCTGCAACCCACAACTACTGAGCCCGTGTGCCACAACTACTGAAGCCTATGGCCTAGAGCCCGTGCTCTGCAGCAAGAGAAGCCACTGCAATAAGAAGTCCACTCACTACAACAAAGATTAGCCCCTGCTCAGCGTGACTCGAGAAAACCTGCACACAGCAACGAAGACCCAACACAGCCATAAATAAAAAATATATATTTTAAAAATGAAATCTTAAACCTATACTAGACTACACCCAAAATAAAAATGACACTTTCAGTCAGCTGAGCTGAGTAGATCATGTTGTGCCATAGATTCTGAGTGAGAATTTTATTATTTTGCACAATAGAAAAATATTATGTATTTATTAGAAAAATGATAAACTGTAATAAAGGATGCTATAGTGTATTTATGTTACTTTCAGCTGAAGATTAAAATAGTAGAGACTCTTTCCCAAAGGGAAGGTCATCAAGAATTTTTAAATGAAGTGAACAAAAGCTAGTCTTGTGATTTTAATCTCTAGCTGACAACAAAGGGCTAAAAGGATTAGGAGCCGGAGATTAAAGGATAAGCACATTTCCTTGAAGAGATGGTCCTACCTCTCTCCCCCACACACAGGGGGTTAGAGGGTGACTTCTCCAAAGTTCAGCTCTAGTGGGAAGTGACTCAACTTCATCTCAGAGAGTTTGAACTGTGCACCAGTGATTTGGAAAGAGTGGGCTGGTTCTTGGCTGAAGCCTGAGACATGGAAAGGGTCAGGAATGTGGCTGCTCAGCTACTCTGGTGTTGGCATATTGGGATCACCGTGAATTACAAAATATTTTTTTAATATTTATTTGGCTGTGCTCGGTCTTAGTTGCGGCATGGGGGATCTTTAGTTGTGGCATGCAGGATCTAATTCCCTAATCAGGGATTGAACCCGGGCCACCAGCATTGGGAGCATGGAGTCTTAACCACTGGACCACCATGGAAGTCCCGAATTACCAAATCTTACCCAAGCAAAATTGTTTTCTCTGAACCAGATGTGGGTCACGTGCCCAAGAATGCTAGCATCAAATTTTTCCAGTTCCGGTCTTAGGAGTTCTACTTGAAGAGGTGGAAAGACCATAATGGAAAGGAGCTAAAGGAGGAGTCAGCAGCAACCAGCCAGAACAAAGGAATTCATTTTTGCCAAGAGAACTGCAGATAGTGGGAATGAAGGAACACTGATATTAACAGTCAAGAAAGAGTAGAAGAGTACTTCTCACCCAAGGGCAATTCCCTCCCCCAGGGATAGTTGGCAATGTCTGGAGACAGGTTTGGTTATCACAATTTGGGGAGATGGGGAATTGTGTGGGCAATGCTACTGGTATCTAGTGGGCAGAGGCAAGGGATGCTGCTAAACACCATTCAATGTACAGGACAGCCCCTTAACAACAGAGATTTATACAGCAAAATGTCAATAGTGCCAAGGTTGCGAAACTGTGGGCTAGAGCATGCTGACTTAACAATCTCCAAATCTTAGTGGTTTATAACACAAAGGTTTATTTCTCGTGTGTACAAGGTGTCCATTGCAGTTTGGCTGTGGCTCTGTTCTGTGTGTCTTCGTGGTAGAATCCAGTCTCCATCTAAAACATCACCAGTCAACATGGTAAAGCAAAAAGAAACATGTTCGACAATATACTAACTTTTAAAACTTCTGGTAGAAACGACACACATCTTTCCAAAGCAAGTCCCCTTGTCTACTGGTTATCTAATACTGTGTAGCAAATTACCCCAGAATTCAGTAGTTTAAAACAACACACAGTCATAATCTATTAGTATTCGTGGGTCAATAACCAGGCATAGCTTAGCTGAGTCCTCTTCTTCAAGGTCTCTTAAGAGCTGCAATCAAAGTGTCAGGCAGGGCCACAGTCATTCCAGATGTCAAATGGGACAGGATCTGCTCTTGAGCTCACTCAATGGTTACTAGTGGGATTCAGTACCTCATGCGCTGTTGGACTGAAAGTGTCAGTTGCTAGAGGTTGCCCTTGGTTCCTTGCCAGGTGCCCCTCTCCACCAGAACAAACATGCATGAAGAGCCAAAGAGAGAATGCCAACAAGCTAGAAGTCAGAGTCTTTCATAACCTTATAATGCAAGTGACGTTGTATGACTCTTCTATTCATTTCAAGCAAGTCCACAGTCAAGATGCAGCCCACAGTCAAGAGAAGAGAATTACACAAGGAGTAATTATCACTTCAGTGTTCCTGAATTCAACAGGGCAGGATGTTTCATCCTTTCACACAAAGGGTACCACATAGAGCAAACCTAAAATGAGTAATACAACCTGCCTTTGCAAACATTTTCCTCTTTCCTACTTCAGTGGGCTTAAACTGGGGGAGAAGTGAAGTTCTACCTTTAAATCCTGGTTTTACGTTTTTGAATATTGCATTGAACTGGATACATGAATTTCTGAAATGAGAGATAAAACTATGCTTTATGACTCAGAGTAATCAGAGGACCTTATATCACCTAAGAGCAATCCAAAGGGTTATAGGGCCTCCCACAAATTTCTCTCAGGGGAATGATATAAACTAGGCACAGAGGAAGGCAAACACAAAGTTGCATCATATACATGAGTCCACTTGTTCATTCTTTTACTCAACACTGTACATTTATTACCTATTATGGGCCAGGCTTATCCTAGGCATGGGAAAACAACAAATAAATAGGACAAAAATTCCTGTCCTCACAGAGCTTATGTTCAAATGGGATTGGGAGAGACAAAAGACTCTCAAAGAAATAGTCTAAGTATATAGTATTTTAAATGATGATTAGTCCTATAGAAATATGTAAAAGAGGGAAAGAGATGGGAAATGCTATTTTTCTAGAGGTAAAGAAAGTCCTCCCTAAAAGAGATGAAACTATGAGCCTTGTGAATATCTGAAAAAAAGCTCATTCAATGTAATGTTTATATATTCTTCCAAGGAGTTATTTTGAACATCAACATAAAACACCATAATGGTAAGTCCAGAAAGCAAGAGACTTCTGCATTTAAAAACATATGTATGATTTGTTTGGAAACAGTAGCTGATATGGCTTTCATGAGCAGTTAGCTAGACTGCTGAATCCTTTTTGCAGACCTTGCCTTAACCTCAGAGAGTGATGAGTCGGGGTCAGTTGACTGACTCCTACCCTGAACCATGGAAACTAAATGTAGAATTCTTGCCACGTACAGCTAGGAGGAATGAAGTGTGTGTGTGTGTGTGTGTGTGTGTGTGTGTGTGTGTGTGTGTGTAATGTTCTTTTTTGTTTCACCATGATTGATCTTCCTTTCAGGGTACCAGCTAGAAGTAGGTGATCCATCTGGACTTCCTCTGAAAGAGTCAGTTGCCTGAGACAGACAGAAGATGGACAGCCTTCTCCCCAGGTGTGTTGGACAGTGATGCTCTTACAGGTAAGCGCTCCCTGAGGCAGCTGGTGACTGTGGGTCATCCTCGGCATAGGAGTCCACAGGAAGCTTCTCTGGAGCTTGGCAGGCAATGGTACATCTGTGGCACTTTGCTTTCCCCCTCCTCACCCCTCTTACCTCATTCTTGCTTGAAAACTCCTTAAGATTTTCACTGGTTGAGTGATATCCTTTATAGTTTCTCCTAAAGAGAACAGAACTTTTCTTTATATTACCTGTATTATCTTGACAGGAATTTGAGAAAAAGGGAGATTTTAACCCCGACATAGGTCATACTTTTTTGCCAGAAAATGTTTGTGTTGCTATATGAAAAGAGCTGGAAATGAAACATATGTCATATATCTCTATCTGTCTCTATCTGTATGAAGATTATAGATGGATATATAGAAAAACAGACTAAATGGCTAACAGTTGTTACTTTGTGCCGTAAAAAAATACACTTCCTTTTTAAAACCTACTTGTACATTTAAATTTACCTACTATGGTCAAGCAATGCTTTTATACTAATAAAAAACAATAAAATTTTTCTTTTAATTCAAATAAATGATAGAATCACAGCATACAATTTATTTGGGGACTGTGCATCTAAGAGAGGAGCTATTTTAAACTAAGGGTTAGCAAGAAATAAGTAGCTTTGAGATTCATGTTATAGTGTTGCCATTGATGCTTAACAAAAGTGTTTCTACCTAACAAATTAACATACTATGCCCTGTGCACATTACAAACTTATTTGGGGACAATCATAAAAAACTACATTTTTTATAGTGCTTTTAAGTTTGCAAATTGCTTTGACATTTCATTTCATTTGACCACCCTGATGACCACATTAAAACAAAGTCAGGTTTTATTAACCCTGTTTGGGTGACGAAAAAGAGGCGCAGAGCATTCCATGACATTGACAATAGCAAAGACTGACTGCCAAGCCGCTGCTTTCTCTACCTGATGACTTTGAGTGAGCTGGATGGTAGCAATGGAGGAGGCAAAATCCCCCAGTAGCTCAGGTAGGGTCTCATTCCTCAGTGTAGGAAGCATCTTACCTTTATTTCAGTCCCGTGAATCTCTTTTCATGTTTTGAAATATGATTTTCACAGGAGAAGTCTCATGAATAAGCCTCTCTCTCTAAATAGGAAATTAATAAATTTTTCATCTTGTATATCTCATAAACTATTTCTTAGAGGAAATAACATTAAACTTAGAGAAACTGATGAGGTTTTTCTGGTAACTATGTTACAATTAGAAAGCAGAAAAATTCTTGACCAGAGAAAGCATAGGAATTGATTTAGAATAATTATGACTCAAATAAAAGAAAAGCAATATTTAAAATAATTTGATTGTATTAATAGGCAGAAAATTCAGTCAAGAGTAACTTTAGTATTTGTGTTTAGTATTAGTACAGTATTTAGTATTTAGTAACTAATATAATTTAAATAGAGAACAATATTTTAGGCCTGATTTGTAGCAACAATTTTGAAGAAAAGTGTTTTAGCAAATCAAGCTATACATGGCTATACATGGATAGCCCCATATACAGAAGGAGTAGGTATATATTTACTTCATAGAGTTTCTGCTTAATTATCTTGGTTAATAAGAGGAAAATATATACACAAATATGTTACTTTTTTTTTCAACTTGGCCAATAACTCCTAAATAATTTAACAGATGCACTAACATGTAAGCAATTATCTTAACTATTTGGGGATTTAACCAGTTTCTGTTTTCATCCCGTAACCATAGATTTGATGATTAATGTGAAATCAGTAAGAGGCTGATAGCAAGTCTAAGGGGGAAGAAAGATTGGGAATATTCTACGTATTGCAAAATAACCTATCTTTAATAGTTTTAATCTTAAGTAGGGGTGGCAGAAGTTCTATAAGAGGAACTCCATCAAGACTTTCTTTCCCATACACACATGCTGCTTCTCACAAAACTGGCAGAGACTAATTCCATCAGCCTTGAATCAGGAATGGCCTGAATGGTTTGCTTGATCAGTAAGACATAGTAGGCATCCTGGGTCTCCTAAGCCTAGCTAACAAGAAGTCTTGTAGCACCCTCTGGAGCCTCTTGGAGCACTTATCTGTAACACTCCATCTGGGAACCTGGGTGGCATGCTGGGAGAGGCCCAAGCCACCCAGAGAGACAATGTGCTCTGGTGGTCAGCCCCAGTTGAGCTCTTAGCCTTTGGCCAGCATCACATGAGTTGGCCGTCTTGGACATTCGACCCATTTGAGCCTTCAGATGACTCCAACCCCAGCCACCATCTCATCACAACCAGGCTCAGCCCTGAGTGAGGACCAACCTGTTCAGCTCAGCCAACCCAGAAAACCATGAGAATAATAAACGGCTACTTTAAGTAGTCATGTTTTAGGGGGTAATTTGTTATATGGAAGTAGGTAACTAAATGTGGTTTGAATATTAAGTAACTAATAAGTTAAAAACTAAAGCAAAATCCTCATTTAACTGAGTAGCTACCAAAATTGTTAGGCCAGTAAACTTTAGCTTGTAGTAATGTAGACATTGGGTCCATCAGAATCTTGCTGGATTCCACTACAGTTTTTGCATAGTTATGTAGTATATTTCTACTGGACCCTTTTCCTCAAACAACAATTCCTTAAAATTATTTTTAATGGTATAATGTTCTTCCTTTGACTCTACCCCCATGTTATTGGTTTCATCACTTTCTTATCCCTCCTCAAGAAACTTCTCCCTTCTCTGCTCCCACTAGTTTTTGGCCTCCATTTCCTTGTTTCAGTTCTAATTCTTAACTATTGTTTATGCTTCCATCATTCTACTAAAATTGCATCTCCAAAGTTATCCATAATACTTTAGTTGCTAATCTAATTAGCCTTTCCTTTTTTCACAGCCCCACTTTATCTCTGTAGCATGTAAACAAGTTGACAGCTTCTTTATTCTTTATTCTCTTTTATATTGACTTCCATGGCATGTTGGGGCCCCTCTGCATTGCTCTGACTGGTTCTCTTCTGTTATGTGCTCTGTTTCTTATTGCTCCCTTAAATGTAAGCATGTTTCATGGTCTCCCTCTTTCTCTTATTCTCAGTCTGATCTCTGTCCTGTTATTCGTTCTCATGATTTCCTTTATAAGGATGACATGCCAATTGACATCAACTCCTGTTCATTTTCCTGATCTTTAGGCACAAAATATGTCCTGGAACTACATTTTAAACACAAAAGACTGGAGTCCTATTAGATGGTATTAATATAGTATTATATTCAGGAGATCCTGGGATGCTTGAATCTCTTTTTCATCTTACCATCCTTCCTCTCTATGATTTCATAGATTAAGAATATACTTATACAAGAATAATGGCAAATGACAGTGGTTGAGAGTCCACCTGCTGATGCAGGGGACACGGGTTCGTGCCCCGGTCCAGGAAGATCCCACATGCCATGGAGCGGCTGGGCCCATGAGCCATGGCCGCTGAGCCTGCGTGTCTGGAGCCTGTGCTCCACAACGGGAGAGAGGCCACAACAGTGAGAGGACCACGTACCGCAAAAAAAGAAAAAAAAGAAAAATGGCAATGAGAAATAAGACATCACTTATTTATTATGATCTAGCCTTGTACCCATAGTCAATGAAGGGCTTTCTGATAAACAGGGCTTAGGGCTGAGGTCTAAGAAAACACTAAATCTTAACATCAATCAGTACCAACTTTAAACAATGTTGGTTTTGTTTTGTTATTGCAGAAGAGAAAATATAAGATAACTACATCTACTCCAAGGAGGTGAAACCTGACTCAGTTTGATCCATTATTTGAGTGAAAAGAAATGCCTGAGAATTAGAGAAAGAAAAGAAAACAGAGTGAGGTATGTCTATGTTTATTGACTTCTGAAGCACCTGTGACCCCGTTTATAAGTAACTATAGCAAAATCATTATTCTGCAGTCTGACCCAATTAGATTAGTGTTCCCTTTACCCAGAAGTGGGGATATGTGGAGAGTGGGCATGAACAAGAAAGCAAGATCTACTCCAGCGTCCAGGTCTTGGTTTCCTCTGCAAGGAATGCCCATACCTGCCCATCTAATCATGATTATAAATGTCATTTTATGTGTTGGTCCTTCCTCTGTATTCTGCTGTTTGCTTGCTTAATATTCTAAGACTGAAGCCCAGCTCACTCATCTGGTGGCCTAGTTCTTTCCAATACCGTCAATAAAATATGCTGTGTCTTGTCTTCAATATTTCCAACCATTCTGTAGAGACATGCCTTGATATTCCCAGATCTCGATATTGCTCTGACTGTGTATAGTATATATACTCTCCACAACTTCTTGCTCTCTTACCCTTCCTATAGAATCAGAATTCAGGCTTGTATGAAAATGCCAAAGTTTGGCAAATTCTTTGATCTTGTGCACTGAAACACTTACCTGCCCTTGCTGTGGGTAATTCTGTGTCTGGGTTGGGTTTTTTATTTTCTTTGGAGACTGGGGCTCTGATACTCCTCTGTAGCCACTTGTCATTGAGTGCCTCATGTCCAATCCTGAGTCTTTGATGATAAAGTCAATGTGAGTCAACAGGGCTATAAGGACAACAAGAAAAGAGCTTCCACCTTAAATTGCATCAATACGTTATATGTTTAGTATTTGGAGACTTCAGTTGATGTTTCCCTTCCTCTCCCAATAATTTCTGCTGAAAACATGACCATCCACCATTCAGACAGCTAAGCA